ATTGATATACTTAATACCCTAATCCAATATACAAAAGCAATCTTGCACAGCCAAGACTAAAGTTTGGCTAATTCCCTTCCTCCAAATGTTTTCAGTGCTGTCAAAGTAATTACAATTGCAAAATCTAATACTCACAAAGTGTAAACATTATAAAAGCACATATTAAAACTTCTATAAAGTTAAATTTATAATTTTACCTCCTAAGCACTTTCATTAATCATCAGATGACCCCCTTTCTTTTACTCTGTGTGAATTTCCACAGACATATCATAAAAGCAAATACATTTCTAAATATTTATTAAAGAAACATTTCAATTACCCTTGTTTACATCTTTGGCTGTGAGGCCACCTTAATAATCTGGAATTTGCCAATTAAAATATTGTAAACAAGTTAAGAGACCTCAAGGTCTGAGAAAAGACAATTTTTGTTTCAATAAATCATTTAACTACTTTAACTCATTAATAAGAAAATTAAAAGGAATTGTATATCAGGTTTCGTAAGAAATGTTATATATGTTTATAAATTGTCTTTCATGACAGTGAATTTCCATTTTGACTTTTCAAAAGAAAAATAATTTATTTCCAGTCACTAAAATATTTGGTTATTTCTTGGTTTGTAAGATTTTTATTCAATAAAAGATTTTGCATTTTTAACAAAAATTAACTCTAGACTTTTTTTCATTTTATCCCACAAAAATTTAAATAAGGACATTTCAAAATAATTTTCAGCATCCCTTTTCGAAACAAACTGTTTAATACAAAAGTTCATTACGTTATGGTCAGATCCACTAAAATTACTAATTCCCATCAAAGCTCTTGAGTTAAATGTGGTTAGTATTTAAATGGGTGATCATTTAAAATACAAAGTACTAACAACAGCTTGTAACCCTGTACCAGACTAAACAGAGTTTAGTAAATTAAATAGTTTACTAATACTGTAAGCAAAATTCACATGGTTGGATATAAGGGTTGACATTCCATTTATTTTTCAAATTTGATACAATGTTCTCTCTCCCCTCACACCACCCAACTTCTTTGCAAAACAAAAGCCCTTTTTCATAGAAATATCTGTTTACAGTTTTATAGCAATTCTATTACTCTGGGGAGGAAGGGTTTAACTCCTAAACTCATGTCATCTTGTAAGAGATGAAACAAAACTTCATATTCGTGCAGGAATCTTTAAACATTAAATGTCAACTTTTATGAGGATTGAACTTCTTTGATTAGTTTCCTTGTAAAAATTACAATAAAGTTTTGAAGATGCAAGATGAACATAAGAGACAATAAAATAATAGAAGGTTATTTACATTTGGATGTAAAACTAAAAATAAATATTTAAAATGTTATGGTTTCTGTGATTCCAACATAACATATATTCATCATAACAACAAAGTGATATATATATATATATATATATATATATATAAATATAGTTTTAAGATGCTCAATATCAGAGAGAGAGAGAGAGCGTATGTAAATATGAAGTGAACATTGGTCAATACTCAGGCGACATGCTCTTTTGATTGCATCTAGCATGAAACAGTCTGTTGACTTCTATATATATATATATATATATATAAGGATTTGGTTGTAAAAGTTTGATGGTTGTTAGTAAATGTTTCTAGTTTGTGTTTGTTTCAGTGAACAAATAAATTATTTGCAAGTGTTATGTCTATCAGTAAAAGGCAATATTAAACATGAGAAAGTGATATTTGTGTAAGAGTTATCTGTGACCTTCATTTCTGAAGCTGCTTAAATCCACATGCTCTCGATGAAGAATCCAATGAGAGATAAGAACCATTAGGAAAACTGCCAATGATTTTGCCTCTTTAAAGAGATTTATAAAAGATCCCTTTGACGAGGAAAGTTTTTTTATATATATATATAGTTTTTAAAAAATATGATTCCATCACTACATAAGAGTTCTTGTGTTGCAAAAGCTAAAAAGACAGCTGTTTCATCCTCAAGTGAATTTTGAAATTCGAATTCGAATGTATATGCTTATAGTTATTCCAAAATTCACTTGAGGATTTTTAGCTTGTGTTTTTGTAACATGAGAACTCTTATGTAACAATGGAATCATATTTTTAAAAAATAATTATAATTTAGGCTCTACTTATGTATTGAGCATTGTTTTTTAAGAATAAAAATACTAGAGAACTTCGGATTATTAACCTAATGGTTCTTTCCTATTTTTCTAGCTATTTGCAAACACACACACACACACATATATATATATATATTGGACCATGCAAGACCCTCCATTAGAAGGAGCAACTATCAGAGGTACACACATAGAAACGTAAATGCATAGACACACATATTTTTACACTGAATGTTGGAGTAAAACAGTTTGTCATCAAATCTTACTTTAATGACAATAATAGAAACAACATTAAATAAGATACTTGGTGGCAAGGCCAAAGACAAGGACCCAGACTAAACATGACCAACCCCAACAGAGGAACAAGCAGATGATGATTACAACAGATCCCAAGGGTTAGACCAGTGGATGAAGAGGTGTTATGCATGACAGACATGCTACAAAAGATCAGTGGCAGTTTTATAACTGGATTTTGACGTCTCGTTCCATATGTGCTGCAGAGGGTCCACCTTAAACAAATTCATGCCATCAGCACTTTCTTCTACTCTGATTTTCTTTCACCTTCAACCAACTCTTGCAAAGCCAAACGGTAACTGGGAATGGATGGCAGGAACAAGTTTTGGTGAAACTGGAGGCTTCTAGTCCTGGACCTGCATGTTGGCAATGAATGTAGTCACCAACACCATTATCATAAAGGAAGCAATCATCAGCAAAGAAGAAATTAAATGCTTGGATATGAGATAAAGTGGATGACAACAGCAATAGTTACTCGTATTGGTGTCCACTCATTAGTCTAATGATTATTTACTAAGTTTTGCCCAGTGTGACACAATATTGTAGGGATAGAGCACTGAATGAAGCTAAAACTCGGGACTACCTTGTTATCCCCACTCAGTAACCCACAACTGGAATCATACTAGATTTAACTGAACTTTGTGAGTATAAAGATATATGAATAGATATGGATAGATAGACATCTCCAATGTAAAAATGGTCTGGGCTTGGAATAATGTTTGTTTATTATGTAAATCTTCCCACTTCCCAAACAGATTTTCATTTGTCCAGAGAAAACCAATGCTAAAGTGCAGTATAAATGCATACCATAATATAGATTTACAGAATATAAATTTAATTTCAAAATATGATCCCACTATTGTATATTCTTTGTGCCGTACACAATTTTGGTTCTGATCTGGAAAACTGAAGAAGCCATCTAGATTCCCAGAAGGAAATTTTTTACCTTCAGCAGAATTGTAAATTACAAAAAGAAACTAGTTTAAATGTGTATTGTTTGGATGAATTTAGCTGTCAAAAAATTCTCCCGTCAACAGCTGGTAAATTAAGCAGTTGCATTTTTGTTTTTCTTATGATGATTATATTTCATCCATCAAAGAAAGAAGAATTATCATTTATTATCACTTGTCAAAGAACTCAATCATTGTTACAGCTTAAGTTCCTCTCTCTCAGAGTTTAACTTTGTACTTTTATTAACTTTTGTAAAAATATTTAACAGTTTTATAAAATGTAAATTTTTTAAAACTGTTAAATATTTTAATATTATAAAAACAAGATGAGCATTATTTAATGAGACTATTGACTTCGCCAGATTTTTAATGTTTAAAGTTAAATTAGTTACTGAGTGCGACAAAGAATTTTCGTCAATCAATCATGTTTTTTTTTAATCAGCTTGGGCACTGAAAATGCTGTTCAGATCAGTATAGCATTCTGAAATGGCAGACAGAATTCTGGAAAATATTTACAAAAGTTAATGCAATGTACCACTTTTGTTGCAGGTGTCATGGTCTAGCCATTCCTTCTGCATGTTAAGGTTTATCCATATTATGTACACTAGTAATTTGTAGGAAATTAATTTGGCCTGCAACATGATGTCTGTCTGAATTTTATAGATGAAGAATTATTATTATACATTGATTTACTGACTAGTGTTCTCATCTTTGTTATTTTAGTCCAGTGGTTCGCAAACCTTTTTTTCTCTGGGCCATATTTTCGGAATAAAAATTTGGTCAAACCTCAAATTTTATGTGATAAAAAGTACATTTAAAAACAAAAAAAAAAAAAACACAGAAAGAGGGTTAAAGGGAGATAACCGCAGATTCAAAGTCAGAACTTTACCACTGATAACTCTCTCCTCCAATTTGCAGACCCTAGTTACTATGTTCTTAATACTTGATATAATGCAAACATATCACAATGATACAATCGGTCAATAATTATTTATAACTATTTATACTGTGACTCATGCATGCATTTACGTAAGTAATCCATAATATCTTAAATTTTGAAATTATATTTATTTTTGGGATATTAGTTTTTTGAAAATGTTTGATAATTTTTGTCAATCATTCCACCTCACCTGCTATCCTTTTCCGACTCACCTATGAGGCACACCACACCATTTGGGGATCACTGTCTTAGTCACATGTTTAAGCTTTTGAGATGAGGAATTAGGATTCAACTTGAAATTCCCAGATTATCCACTACAACAGAAACCTGAAGAAGGCTGAGGCATATAACAGCTGAAACATGACTACAAAAAACAAAAACAAAATTAGTATAACATTATCTTCCTTACTCTAGTAACTATAAAGCACTGTATGCTAATGACAGTACAAAAAAACAAAACCAGGAATGAAAATTATTAGAAAATATTTTGATTCTCATACCATGATTTGGCAAAGTACAATTTCTATTTTGGTGATAGAGGAGATGGCTTAAAATTAAATGAAATGTTAAAATTTATTTTAAAAACATACATCTCAAATAAAGTAATTGTTTTTTTTTTTTTTTACCTTCTTTTATTTCCTTGTGTTTATTTACATTGATGCATATACACACACACGCACACACATATGTAAAAGTGTGTTTATAACAGACATCATGACTGTATCGTGCTAGTTGGCCGTTTGTCTGTAAAGAAACTGCGCAAAACAATTATCTGACCGATTCCAATGACCAGCACAGCCACTGTCTCACATATTGACCAGTAGAAAACCCGCTCGTTCAAGAATTCAGCAAATGCACGGCCACTTGCCTCCCGTAGCATCAAGTGAGTTTGATAATCAGAGACTTCATTCAGTGAATTATGGACACTAACAGCTGCGGATTCCATCTGAAAAAGAAACAAATGATTTATATCGGATGAATATAAAAACACCCCTAATGGAAAATTTGATCAGGTATTTTTTGTCTTTAAAGCAAGGAAAAGAAAAAAAAATGCTTGTGTTGATATTTGATTAAGGAACAAGTTTGTGTTGTAGATCTCAACCAACATTTTAATGTTAATTTACATCTTGCGAGGGTTTGGCACAAGGTCTCTAGCTCTTTGTAGTAAACAAAATTTATTTACTTGTGCAGTAATTATTAGTCAGCTCTTTTAAAAGACAGTTTCTACTGTATAGATCAGTGTTTCTCAGAATGCTGGGGTTTCATGAGAAAGTGATAAATAAGCTAATGCATTTTTGAATAATTTTATATCCATAATTTTACTATATATGTACAGCATACAGGGTGGAAATGCAAAATTTGCATTAAAGGTTTTACTTGTATATCTCATGAAGCAGTCCAACTAATTTTATGAAACCTGGTGCATTTTATTGTCATAACCTTGCATCATAATTAGCCACATTTTTTTCAGATAATTGTGTAAAAGATGAGTGTTGAGGAAAGCAAACATCAAAAAGTGTGTGACATGATAAATGCACATGTTCATTCACAGAAGGTTTCAAGCATAGTTGGAGTATCCCTATGAACAGTTTTTATTGTGAAGAAGAGAATGAGAAGGAAACTTTTCAAAGACGTTCTTGAAGTCGCAGAATCAACAAAAACGCAATAATGATTTTATCAACACACTCAAATTCAAAATCTCAAAAGACCAAATGAAATCCATGAGAAAATTAGCAACTGAACTTAAGGTGGATGCAAAGACAATCAGAACAGCAGTGAAAGATGACTTAAAACTAAAATCTTACACAAGAACACCAAGACATTTGTTGACATGACCCATGAAGGCCAGAAGATTGGAAAGATGCAAAGAAATTCTTATTTATCTTAAAAGAAACAAGTACACTATGAAAATTTTCTCAGACGAAAAGACCTTTACTGTTGACACTATTCTGACTCACAGGAATGACAGATACATTGCACACTCAAAAGCTCATGTCAACGGCACTTTCAGAACAAAGCATCCAGCTTAAGTTATGGTCTTTGGGGTTGTGGCATCCGATAGGAAAAAAAATGCCTACCAAATTTTACAAACTTGGTGAAAAAGTTAATACTGATGCCTATTACAAGACTGAGATACAATGTATTACCATGGCTCAAAGCCAACTACCCAGAGGAAAACTATGTATGGACTCAGGATGATGCTCCTGCCCATACAGCGAAAAAAGTATAGGATTTCTGCAAATTCAATCTTGCCGATTTTTGGCCATCACACTTCTAGACTTCTTCCAGCCCAGATCTCAACCCTCTAGATTATGCGGTCCGGAGCATTTTAGAATATGCTACTAATAGAACCTCTCATCCAAACATTGTCTTACAGATAACATTGGAGAAGAGTTGGACAAGATAACCTCTGTTTTTTTTAGAGAAGGGTTATAGAATTTTCAAGGTGTGTATGGAGGCAGTAATTAAGAAACAAGGAGGACATTGAATAAAATGTTTCTTTTGTTTTGCATCTGTATGTTGGAACCATCTGTATTTCTTTAAATAAACTAATTAATCAGGCTTTTTATTTTAATGCCAAAATTATGCAAGTTTTGCTTCTCCACCCTGTAGTGTTGGAAAATCTTTGGTTATTATAATAAAGGCTTCAACGCATATTTAAAATCATAATAATTGTGCAATATTGGTTATTTATGTTTATTTTTTTGTGTGTTTACAGATTTAAAAATTTTTTTTTTTAATGAAAACTTTAGTGTGACATCTCATAAATGAGCAATGATTTTTTTTCTGCATTGCCAATAAATTTGATCAGATTTGGGGGGGGGTAATTTTTTCTTTAAACCTGTTATCTGCAAAAGATATGTTTACCATATGAATTACAATAAAAAGGTTGAGAAAATGCTGGTATAGAGATTTCAATCCTCATTAGATCCCCAATCACTAAGACGAGTAAATGCCTATTCAGATAATTTTCAAAATTTAAACAGACATTAAAATGTTGACAAAAAATAGGAATGCACATAGAAACATTTAAGTTTCTATCTATTGAATTTCTGGAGATTAAACCTGCTTGTCCTATTTCACAAGAAGGTGGGAAGTTGGCTGTAACAATGAATTAAATAAAAAGCTATGAGGATTCTATATATCTGTAAAAATGTGATAGTGTTTAAATCTAGACAATAACAACAATGCATTCCATCTCTTCATCAATATAATGACTCAGGACAACTTTAACAAACATACTTGTTGATTAATATTTGATTAACATGCAATGATGTGGCTGATTTGACATTTATTCACATGTGAATAAACCCCCAAGTTTTACCATGACAATACATCAGATACATCAATTACTTCCAAATTTTTATTGGGCAAATCCAAGATTAAACCCAAATGAAGAACAAATTCATTCACCATAGTTTGCAAGACAAGCATGCAAACTTGTGCTCTACTGAGAGTTTTCTTCATTACCTTTTATGTTCTTTAAAGTTATTTTGAAAATTTCAGTTAATTAAAAAAACCCAAAAAAAAACAACTTTTTAGACAAAAATGAAATGTCCTTCTGTAACAGGGCAGTGGCCCTGGTTAAGTCACATGAGTGCATGAAAATCAGTGACGAGGTATTGAGAGACTTGATAATTCTGAGTGAAGGAGTAAAGATAGGAGAAAAATATCAGTGGCTAATTGAAGTCTGATGGAAAAAATGCAGTTTAAAAATGTTAATTTAAACTTATAAAATATTTATAAGAGGACATCAGAAGAGTCTGAATTTAAATTAAACTAAAACTTAGTAAGAGTCAGCATAACTGACACCCCTGGCCCAACTCCATAATCCCAAGGAAGTTGTCATATGATTAATGAGTTTTGCTAAAACACCATAGGATTTTCAGTCACTTTAGGGTTTGTTATTTTGGCAACCTCTTCATTGTATTTATGTTGATTTCAATGTAAATTTTGGAAACTTAAAAATCAAGGCCCAAATTAAAAAACACTTCAAGTACGGCCATCTGGATTATTTTCTTTGTTTGAGAAACTAAATAATCTTGTCTATTTCCCACCTCTCAGACAGAAGTCTATATAAACAGTCTGTATATGCAAGAGAGAGAAAGTGTATGTCACTAAGTGAAAACCCAGCATGCCCCATTCAGACATTGTGCATAAAAGTAATCCCCTGTTAAGATGTTAGCACCATCAGCATTACTTAACAGACGTCTCTCAGTGCCTAAGAGCAGAAAAGGAATGATTGAGATGAAACAGTCCCATAGCTGTTGTATGATTTTACATTTTACCTTTAATTAAATTGTTGATAAGTTTTTAACAGTGCTGTTTCTTCTGTTGGCACGTTTACACCATTTTCAGCAAGATCGCACAATATTGAAGAAACAGCAACCAAAATCTCACCCAGATCAACAAAGTTATGTCTCATGATTTTATCATGGGTACACAACAAACTTCACACTTTGTTAAAGGTGATGAACCAGAAAAAATGATTGCACCAAACACAAGCCACCTTCACTGAAGACCAGATCAAAAAGTCCTACTAAAGAAAAAGTAGGTGAATGAACCTGCGTCATTAAGATGGTTTCCTGTAGCTTAATTTGTAAGGCACACTTGGCTTAAAAGTAATTTCTTTGATGAAAAATGAGAATACAGATACAATTTCTGTCAGGAGACATTTTTCTTTAATACTATTAAATATTAATAACAGGACTTCAAGTTAGTGAAATTAATGCCATTCAGAAATAAGAAAATAACAAGTATGTCAACCCAAACAGGTGTATTCAATATATATATATATATATATATATATATATATATGTGTGTGTGTATTTGGTCAGCAATCCTTCTTTTATACAAGTTTTGTTAAAAATAATTGATAAGGTACTGTAGTTAAGTTTTTTATTTATTTTTTCATGTATTCTTATAATTTTCTTCTTTTCTGGACATAAATTATGTAGAAATTGTCCAAATGTTTTGTATGTCTGATAAGTGGAAGAGGTCCTGTTGAGTGGCCACTAAGGTCACCAAACTTCACACACTTGGATTTTTTTTTTTTTTGTGGGACCATTTGAAGTCAGTTGTTTATCAGATGCGCCCAAGAAATATTGAGGAACTTAAAGAAAGAATTAAATATGAATGCAGTAAAATGACAGGAAATTCTCCGATCTGTTAATGAATCTTGCAGGAACGGAATCGAAATGTGTTTTCAAAAATGAAGTGGACATTTTGAACATCACATATACCTAGTAAATAAGATTTTTCATCTGTAATTATACTTTTAATTATTCCTATGGTGCACAAGTTTCGTGCACCATAGGGATAATTTATTAAAAGCATAATTATGCATGAAAAATTTTATTTACTAATTATATGTGCTGTTCAAAATGTCTTCCTTTTCAAAACTCATCCTGTATATATAGTAGATTATCATCTTTTGATTGCCAATATACAGAATGTTACTAAACTAAAACTTTCAAAAAATATATTTCAAACAGAAAATAGACAATGTTTTGAAAATATGAAAAAAAAAAAAAAAAAAAAAAAAAAAAATGATATAAATTTAAATGTCCTCAATGACATCCAAGTAGGAGTCATCTGAACCTTACAGAAAAATTAGTAAAATCATTTAATATTTTAGTGATGAAATATATTTCTTGCATTCCCTCTTTCATCCAATGAGCTTCTGATGTACAATAAGAAAAATATTTGGACATACCTAGTAGACATGTCTTGCAATAGAATGTAGATTTCACCATCCATGAGGAGCCTATCTACTGTGGATAATAAATTCCAACTGTACACAAACACATAAAATGACCAACTGCCATCACCATAGATCTTTAAATTTACTAAAACATCTTCCCAAATTATTTTTTAAAATGCCTATAATTTACATGTTTGATAGTATTGGGCTAGAATATAACTTTACAGTATTTTTTTAAGTGA